ACTTTTTTTGGACGTAGACGGAATCTGTACGATGTTTTCGGTATAACGATCAAATGAAACCTCCTTTATGATTTTAAGTAAACTTTGCCAGGAGAATTGAGAAGGGTTAGGATCTCTGCTTTCAAGTTTATTTGTTAAAAACTCAGATAAATGATGGTTTCTCTTAGAGAAATACAGTCAAAATTTTTTTTGGACATAGATGGATTCTGCATGACAATAGTTTATATAATAGTTATCCATGTTCCTCCTTTCCGTTTATTCTCTTATCTCTCAAACCTATAACTAGCAAACTCCTTACTTTCATACTTTGTATTATAATCTTTGCTCAAGTACTGATTCCCTTCATATATCATGGATGATACGACCCATTATTGTACTTCAATATATGTATTTGCAAGTTTACTTTTTTTAAAATGATGCTATGGTCGAAGAAAATTATCAATTCTCTGTCAATTCAAAAATTAAAGCTTCTTCATTCATTGGTTCATTAACTATTCCTATTGAATTCTATCAAAGTCTCAGATCTTAACCGAGAGATGATTAATAACAGGACTAAACTTATTATAAAATCTTTATTTCTTGAACTTTTATCCAAATATTTAAAAGCAACTAACCAGAAATTCCAGAAAGATCATATGAGTTACGGGTTTTAGATTATCTTAGAACTTAACATCCATTTATTAAAATATATGCCTTCTTTTTTTTGTATTCTTTATATAATTAGTGCAATTATATTCTTTTCACAATCGTGGAATGTTTATTATATTGTCTATGGAATAATTTTAAGACTTTGTTATCGAATGACATGGATAAAAATAAAGGTAAAAATAAAAGACGAGAAGAATCAAAGTCTCTTAAAATAATCATTAAAGAATGATTAATTCTTTCAATATCCTATACAAAGCTCTTCATGGGTAATCCATGGTTTTCATCAAGTCCTCGTGATTTATGATCCATCAGATATATAAACAAGTTTTTAAAAACCTGCCTGTCTTCCTATCTGAACCGATTTTAAACACAATATGACCCTTGGGCGCGCATTTGGAATATGTTCAGCTTTTTTAGTAAGCGGTTGCTTCTTTTAATAAGCGGATTACTTCTTTTAATCATTTTTCGATAGATTATGCAATTTTTTCTTATTTCATGAAATACTTTTGGTTTTGTGAGAAGCATTTGAAATTGATATTTTAGGAAGAGGAAAGGATTTTAAAGATAGCTTTGGGATCAAAGTTTTTAAGATGTCTTTGTTTTTACCAATTGTGGTCTTTATTTTACCATTGTTTGCAGAACCTTATATTAGGGAACAGTAATTGAGTCACATCTGAATATATATACAAATTTAACAAATTGGTGGTCTAATTGGCAAGCAATGTAACCTTTATTCTATTCTTTGTGTCATTATAAAAAATTTCATATATATTTAATAGATAGATAAATAAATAGATGCGTATGCACATTATCATCTGAATTTTGTATTCTGCAAAAAATAATTATATTTATTGTTTTTATATTAATTAAGTGATATTATCTTGTTATAAAAATTTTCATTAATATTGTAACAAACTTTAGGTATTCAAAGTTGATCATTATTTAGGGCAATTTCATTGTTTAAAGTGTCTTCCTTGATATATCGGAAAATCTTATATATTGCTACTGTTCTTAATCGTTAAATTCTTGAAGACCATTAAGTAAAAAAAAATGGAATCAACTAAACCATATCTAAGTTACAGTAATTTTACGTAATTCACATGATCTGTACTTTCTGAGATCAAAATTTTCGGTGAATAAATAGTTACAAATAAATAAATTAAATAATGCAATAATCGTAAATCAACCCTATAATCTAAATTGCCACCCTAATTAATTTGCTGGCCAATCAGATTTCATGATGTATAATGCAAACGAAGCGAGAAAAAAACAAAAAAAACCACTTCTAACATATAGCAAATACTTAACAATAGAATAAATAAACAATCTTAGTCAAGGTGATTTTTCGCGGTCCTTTGAATAATTAAGTTTTAAGATTCCAACAACTAATTCTTTCCATTGATTTTCACTGTTCATATAAAATAATTTTGCTTTGATGGCATTTCACTTAATCTCATTCTCTTCGCCAGTAATTACTGCAAAGAAAATTATTATATTTTTGTACTAACTAAACAAATTTAAAATTTCAAATAACCTTCTTGTTCTTGTAATAAGGACCTTGCATCAAATCCAAAAGGCACATTGTCATCTTCATTGCTTTTTTTACCACTATCATCATCATTGTCATCATTATCGTTAGCGGTTTATCAAAGATAGTTGATTTTGACACAGTAAATTTAGAGCCAAATATAGTTGAAAGTGGTGAGGAAGTAGAGGAGGAAGCAAAGGAACTAGTATATTTAGCGAAACCGACAGGTTACAAATAAATTAAGGTTGATTAATTACTATTTATAACAAAAATAAAATAATTTGCGTAAATAATTTATATATCTAGTAATAAATGTACCTTGCTCTCTTTATTCTTCTCGTTGTTTTCCATAGATAATACAATAAACGTTCCACAATTGTGAAAAAATATAATTGCACTAATTATATGAAGAATAAAAAAAAGAAGGCATATGTTTCAATAAATGGACATCCAGTTCGAAGATATTCTAAAGCCCGTAATCCAAATGATCTTTCTGGAATTTCTGATTTGAAATTTTTTAAATATTCGGATAAAAGTT